TATTATATATTTAAATAGGCCTAAATAAATAAAAATAATAATAATAATGATATAATAATTAAAATACGGTAGTAGTAGTAGTAGTAGTAGTAGTAATAATAATAATAATAATAATAACAATAATATATTAACAAGACAATAGATTTTAACACTCGCCTATGTTAAACCATATGTAACTATGTTGTTATGTTGAGCATCTTCTACAAGACCCGTTACAATTTCATGTCACCTGATCTCTGTGCCTAGCAATCAATATTCACTTTCAAATGAGATTGATTTCCAAGTTTCAAATTTCTTTTATAACATTATTATTGTCTGTAAATTTCATTTAGATCTGTAGCCGTACAGGCGTTTTCGATATATTTTGAACTCTAAAAAACATGCACACACGAACGCACGAACATACAAACTTACATGATTGAAAACATAATAATTATAGAAAATAATAGGTAATTATAGGTAATAATAATGGAAAATAACAGTACTATATAGTATAATTTACTAATATAGTAAATTTAACTATTTCATCTCACATAGGTGGAGAGAGGCTTTAAAATGGGCTTCCTCTCTGTGTGGATTGACTCCGGGCAAATATCTCAAAAACTATTGGCCAATCAGGCTTCTAGAACATAATATTGAATAGTAAAACTTTAGCCTAATGTCGTAGTGTCCAAGATAAATAACATATTATTTATTTACTAACTTATCTTATTTTGGCCAAATATTAATTGTTGTCTGATAATGTTTTGGCCTTGTCCTCTTCCGCATGATCACATACAAGTAATCAAATTTTCTGAATTATTGGTATTGCAGTTGGGATAATATCGGTACTAAAATGCAATAGTAAATTTTATTACAGTATTTTGATGAATTATTGAAAAATATAATTACACATTACTTACCCTAGGTCTTGGTGTCGGTGCTTCTACATCATTAGTCGGCCTACTATTGCTGCTACCCCCCGTGCCACCAACATTATTGTCTGATATAGTTGGTGGAGGCCTATTTGTTGTTGGGGTAGTGTGCTCTTCACTGCTGGTTCGAATGGCAGCTAAAACTGCCGTTTCTATTATTTCCTGAATGTTTGACTGGTTTGACATGTTACATCAGTGACTTGTTACCATCTACTGTACTATACTAGTCTTGGAATTTTTTTTTTTTTTGCGATGGGTAGACATATGCAAATTTCTTTTTGATACACCATTAATCACTTAGAATTGGTCTTTCTGGCCCTGTACTAGCACATTTACAAAAAAAGCATGTGTGTGGTCAGTCTGGCAAGAAGTTTAAAACCGTCGGACACAACACAGAATGAATGGCACAGGAGTACTTCCGTAAACATTACCGTACTTATTACTGTATTAAACAAGAAATATTTTCTATAAAGAAAACTCTTTACAACATCTTACGATTGGTTTGTACTTCAAAACTTAATAAACTGACGTAGCTTATTAAAATGAAAGGGCATTAACAACTTAGGAATGTGGAAAGTATGAAATACATATAACCGACAAAGGGAATATAATTTGGTCAAAACAGATTTTGTTTACATAATGTTTTCATTATTATTGTTGTAATTATGAAATTTTACTTTTTATCCATTTTATGCATGTATATAATATATATGTA